GCCCTATCAAAGAAAACTAAGTCAACCAAAAAATACTATTCGACACACTAAAATGCGATTGCCCTTACGCAGACAGCCAGGTCTGAGAAGGGTATGGAAAATTGCGTATGTTGGTCTAAGAGAGGGTTAACTTTCAGGTGCGGGTGACACAATCAAGAACATCGAAAATTGTGTTGATTGTGGGTTAATTTAGAGGTATTGAGACTGGTACCGTGCTTCTTCCACCGAAAAGAAATGCCGGACAACTAAACATTTCCTAGCGTATCAACCGGTTATGAAATAAGGGGGACATCAAGTCTGTCGTTTACAGTTGAAGCAAAACTTGGTTTTTTAATACACGGCTAGAAAACAAACAAACAAAAAAATACTTTCAGCTGAAAGGAAAGTAAGTCTTGCTAATTAATTATATGCACGGCTCCTATTTTTCAAAAAAGAATTGTCAAAATCTATCATACTCACAATAGCTTTCATTGCCTGTTCTCACCTTGTATTTCCGCGTGATTTATTTATTTTAATTCATTTTTACAAGCTCGTTTCAAATTTAAGTTAATATTTATTTGTCAGCACAATTATTGAAGTGAAGAACTGCCGGCTTAATATGCATGCTAATGAACATGTTTGGTTATGGCTTCGCAACTTCTACGGCATAAATGAAAAAGCTATAGGAATCCGGTGAGCTTAGCGATTTTTCCTGGCAGTGTCGTGTCGAACATTTGTTTGAAATTATTGAAAAATATTAACCTTCTTGAAAACGAAGAATATTCAAGTTTTCGAATACTACCGGTAAATACGGAGAACTGGTCATTCTTCATTATACATTATATAGCTTCATATGCTAGCAAACACTGTTCTTGTTTGTGTGTCTATGGCTCAATTCATTGTTTGAAACAATAAATTGAGCCATAGACACACTGCGCTTTGTGTTTTAGTTCCATTGTCACTGAACTCAAAGACTCAGCCATGGCCAAAGTTGAGATGAAGTTCATTTTCATTTTTTCTCTCTTGCTTTATACCAACTTTTGCATCTGTCGAGCGGAAAGTACATCGGCGAAAAAGGTACTATAATAGTTTTATGTTGGCAATGCTTCAAAAACTTCTTCTGGCACTTCAATCTTGCTCCGTACCACTCAGCACTATGGAAAGTGACTCCGTTAGGCGTTGAACTTACGGTAGATCGTAAAATAATTCAAAAGCTACTGTATTTTATTTCAGTCAAACATTAAGCAAGCCTGCATTACAATGAAATTTTGAGAAAATAAGTTTATTTCAGTAAAAATTGCTATTTTTTTAATATCTATATTCAATCACTTATAATAAAAGAGTTTCGTTATTAAATGAAATTCTTCCGCCTCTGTAATTCGTCATGCAGATTGTGCAGCTGTTTAGAAGAATATAAACTACTATTCATATGAGCATGCTAAATATAAACATCCCTGATATCGATCTTTGCTCTAAGGAGCGCACTTTCTTTGCGCGTTCGCCGTAGGCTCGATTTCCGCCGCTTTCTCGAGTCCGGTCTACGTTCCTCCCCGAAAAGCTAAGAGTTCGGGGGAGGAGCGTGGGCTCCTTTCCCGAATAGCCGCTGGTAATCGAGCCTAGTTCGCCGCAGTAACGTTTTAACTTTTTGTTCGTGTTACTGTGATAAGATCAAATGGACCTTTGTCTGCAGGGTTTGAATTAATATTCTTGCAGTACTAGCACTTGTTCACGGTTCCGCAGTAACTCAAATGTTGCCATCGAAATCATTTTTGCAAATTAAATTTATTCATGTTTCGCAGAATGTTTGTGGTGCAACTCCGGGTATTCCCATCAACGTCAACTTGAACGGATGTCCGGGACTGAAGGTAAGCACCAAAAATGTCACTTTTCTCTGTGTTAGTTCATTGGGTTGGCAAAGAACGCTCAGCGCCTCAGTGGTTATTATGACTGGCCGAGACATTATTTGCCGGATAAATGCATTGGCTCTAAAATGCAGTATTTTGTAGGGTGAAAAGGGCGAGAAAGGAGACTCTGGAACACCCTGCAAATGCAACACTCAGGTAAATAGCTATAAACACTCTACTTGTTAACATTTCTGTCGACCCGAGGGCCGGGTGGGACAAGACTCTTCGCCAATTTTGATCCATCGAGTCACTGGCAATACTAATGGTTTCCTTTTCATTTTTTTGTTCTTAAAATAGGATCCAAACAAACCGTCAGCTCACATCGAGGCGAGCAATAAAGGAGATGTGACTTATCAAGCCAACACGGGTATTTACACTTGATGGAAATTTTGACGGTATTTAGCACAGATCTAAAGTCTGGCTAGATATGTTGCTTCTTCAGGTTTCTTCCTGAATTTGATTGCAGTTTATAGCAATTTCTAACAGCACGTCTGCGTAGAGGAGCTTAGAGGATAAATACTGAATTCTTGACTGTTACAAACGATAGCATAAGCGCAGCACTTAAGATTTCCAATTTTAAGACACTTTCTTGGCATCTGATTGGTAGAGGGTGGGGAGTTTTTCTCGTGTAGAAGAACGATTCTAGTATTGAGGGAGAGGGTTTGCTCAATTCCCTTGCAGTGATAAAGGACTGGTCTGTCAGTGCTCCACACAGTCACCTAGCAGGCGGCATGACGTACCACGACGGAAAACTGACTGTGCCCACTCCTGGACGGTACTACATCTACGCACAAATGTACTACAAAAACAATGGAAGAACCGTTATTCGTGTGAACAACAATGTCGTTAGTATGATTCAACCACCAAAAGCTGCAGCAAAAACAGATNGCTCTAAAATGGAGTATTTTTTAGGGTGAAAAGGGCGAGAAAGGAGATTCAGGAACACCCTGCAAATGCAACATACAGGTAAATAGCTATAAACTTTCTACTTTCGGCTGGGACACGATAATCTTCGCCAATTTCGATCCATCGATTTATTGACAATACTAATGTTTTTCTTTTCCTTTTTTGTTCTTAAAATAGGATCCAAACAAACCGTCAGCTCACATCGAGGCGATCAGTAAAGGAGATGTGACTTATCAAGCCAACACAGGTATTTACACTTGATGGAAATTTTAGCGGTATTTAGCACAGATCAAAACTCTAGCTAGATATCTTGCTTCTTCAGGTTTCTTCTTGAATTTGATTGCAGTTCCACTGGTGATCTGAATGAAACCTCAGAAAGATCCTTCAGGATCCTTTCTAAAAAATTAAAAAATGTCCCTGGTAGCAATTTCTAACAGCACGTTTGCGTTGAGGAGCTTAGAGGGTAAATAATTCTTGACTGTAAGCAGAGTACTGAAGATTTCCAATTTTAAGACACTTTACATCTGACTGGTAGAGGGTGGGGAATTTTTCTCATATAGAAGAACAATTCTAGTATTGAGGGAGAGGGTTTGCATAATTCCCTTGCAGTTATAAAGGACTGGTCTGTCAGTGCTCCACACAGTCACCTAGCAGGCGGCATGAAGTACCACGACGGAAAACTGACTGTGCCCACCCCTGGACGGTACTATATCTACGCACAAATGTACTACAAAAACAATGGAAGAACCGTTATTCGTGTGAACAACAATGTCGTTGCTTTGGTTCAACCACCAGTGAAAGCAGCAAAAGCAGATAATTCCGGTGCTTTGTACACAGGCTTGGTGTTCAACCTCAAGACTGGTGACGTAATCACGTTGTTTGTATCGTCATGGCCCGTTAATTCCGCCAAAGTCTACATGGATTCTATTCATAGCTTTTTTGGCGCGTTTTTGATTTGAGCATGGCACGTCAGAAGAGTGCGCCATATCCTCCGTAATTACGCTGATTAATGAGACACAGTTGCTCTCAAGGTGTTATCTTAGTGGCTAGATGGTTCTAATTTTAAAAAATGTTGAATCAAAATAAAAAAAAAGAGGATGGTGCGAGATATCTTTGTGTGTTGTTTCAAAAATGCAGAATATACTTTGTAACTGACAAAGCGCAGCGAAAACTGTGAATAATATTCTCCCTTCTTTACTGTTAACTAGCAAT